AACTGAGATGCTGAAGCCGTGTGGTTAAGACGTCGTCTGTTAAACATGGGGCTCTCGCTCGAGACATCCTCGGAAAGGGTGTCATATGGACTCCCCGAAGAACCACAGGCAACCAGTGAACACCGTGGCTCCCTACGGGCGACCCGTGACGTAACCGAGCTGGTACGACCAAGGCTCCCAGGAGCGAGCGGTGACAAAACACGGCTCTTCGCATCAAGGGCCCAAAGAGCGGGCCGTGACGTAACACGCTTTGTACTTCAAGACCTCAGGAGCGAAGGATGCCATGCACCATCTCAGGGAATCTCTGTGTTCACTGGTTGTCTGTGGTTCTCCCATGGGGTGACCCCCCGAAGAACCACAGGCAAGCAGTGAGTACAGTGCCTCCCTGAGAGCGGCCTGTGACGTGAACGAGCTGGTGCGACCAAGGCTCCCAAGAGGAAAACGGTGACAAAGATGTCTCTTCACTTCAAGGATCCCCAGGGCGAGCGGCAACATAACAAGTTTTCGGCACCAAGGCTATCAAGAGCGAAGGGTGTCATGAGCTATCTCAGGCTATATCTGCGATCACTGGTTGCCTGTGGTTGTTCGGGGGGTCGATCCTCCCGAGGAGCCACAGGCAGCCAGTGAACATTGAGACCCCCTAGAGTAATAGCGACCTGTGACGTAAACAGGCTGGTACGACCAAGGCTCCCAAGAGCGAACGGGCAGACGCTGAATTTTCGTTTTGGACAGACGCCCCTACCCAGACAAGAACGGGAAGCGCCGCTTCCCTGAACTTGCGTTCGCACGCGCGCACGCCCCGCACGCCCGCCGTGCACCCCCCCCGCCCGCCCCCCCCCCCCCCCCCCCCCCCCCCAGAACACGCCCCGCACGCACGCCACACACACACACACACACACACCTTCGTCCCGCCCGCCCAGCAGCACACCCTGCACACACGCGCGCACGCACGCACACAGCCGCACACACTGCCGCACTCACAGGCACACAGGCACGCACATGCACACGCACACACGCACACGCGCGCACGCACATACGCATACACGCACATATACGTACACACATACACAGGCCATGCACTACAGCTGGCCAAAGCAACCACAGCAATCACAAAGCCCAAGGTAGGAGCAGCAGCCATCTGAGCATTTAGGAGATCTCTACGACTGCACCCCACGTGTGCACACTTCTTCTGGTTGCAAGTCCGTGCGCGCGAGCGAACGCAAGTTCAGAGAAGCGGCGCTTCCCGATGTTGTCTGGATATGTTCCCCCCTTTTCGGGCGTCTCGCTGGAGACAACCTGGAACACATGAGATGTTGAAGCCGTGTGGTTGAGACGTCTTTTGAGACACATGAGGCTCTCGCTCGAGACATCCTCGAAACATGAGCTGCTGAGCTCGCCCACGAAATTCCGCGAATCGTTGGACATAGCCGTTTCGTTCGAGGCATCCTCGAGCCAATGAGATGTGGAAGCCGTGTGGTCAAGGCGTCTCCTGTTGAACATGAGGCTCTTGCTTGAGACATCCTCGGGCAACTGCATTCGCAGCATCTTAGCTCGAGTTCCTGTCTCCGCCGTCTCGTCCGTCTGCTCCGTTTTTGAAGTCTCCTCCGTCTCGGACGTCTCCGTCTCTTCCGTCCCCGAGGTCTCCTCCGTCTCTGAGGTCTCCTCCGTCCCTGAGGTGTCTGAGGTCTCGGAGGTCTCCTCCGCCTCAGAGGTCTCGCCTCCTCCGTCTATGAGGTCTCTTCCGTCCTTCAGGTCTCCTCCGTCTCTGGGGTCTCCTCCGTACCTGAGGTTTCTGGGGTCTCTGACGTCTCCTCCTTCTCTGAGGTCTGTCTCTTTCGTCTCCTCCGTCTCTGAGCTCTCCTCCGTCTCTGGGGTCTTCTCCGTCTCTGAGGTATCTTCCGTCTCTGAGGTCTCTTCCTTCTCTGAGGTCTCCTCCGTCTCTGAGGTGTCTGAGGTCTCTGAGGTCTCTTCCGTCTCTGAGGTCTCGCCTCCTCCGTCTATGAGGTCGCTTCCGTCTTTGAGGTCTCCTCCGTCGCTGAGGTCTCCTCCGTATCCGAGGTGTCTGAGGTCTCTGAGGTCTCCGACGTCTCCTCCGTCTCTGAGGTCTCTTCCGTCTCTGAGGTCTTCTTCATTTACTCGGTCTCCGACTCCTCCCCTCCTCCTCCTCCTCCTCCTGCTCCTCCTCCTCCTCCTCTCTTTTCCGCCTCTGAGGTCTCCTCCGTCTCTGAGGTCTCCTCCGTCTCTGAGGTTTCTGAGGTCCCTGAGGTCTCTTTCATCTCTGAGATCTCCTCCATATACTCCGTCTCCGTCTTCTCCTCCTCCCCCCCTCCTCCTCCTCCTCCTCCTCCTCCTCCTCCTCCTCCTCCTCCTCTCTCTCCTCCCTCCTCCCGCTCCTCCTCCTCCTCCTCCTCCTCTTGTTCCTGCTCTTCCTCCTCCCCCTCCTCTTCTCTGTGGTCTGTCTCCTCCGTCTCCTGCGTCTCTGAGCTTTCCTCCGTCTCTGGGGTCTTCTCCGCCTCTGAGGTATCTCCCGTCTCTGAGGTCTCTTCTGTCTTTGAGGTCTCCTCCGTCTCTGAGGTGTCTGAGGTCTCTGAGGTCTCCTCCGTCTCTGAGGTCTCGCCTCCTCCGTCTATGAGGTCTCTTCCGTCTTTGAGGTCTCCTCCGTCTCTGAGGTCTCCTCCGTATCCGAGGTGTCTGAGGTCTCTGAGGTCTCCGACGTCTCCTCCGTCTCTGAGGTCTCTTCCGTCTCTGAGGTCTCCCTCATTTCCTCGGTCTTCTCCTCCTCCCTCCCCCCCTCATCCTCTCTCCTCCTCCCTCCTACTCCTCCTCCTCCTCCTGCTCCTCCTCCTCCTCCCCCTCTTCTCTGAGGTCTCCTCCGTCTCTGAGGTCTCCTCCGTCTCTGAGGTCTCCTCCGTCTCGTCCGTCTCTGAGGTATCTTCCGTCTATGAGGTCTCCTCCGTCTCTGAGGTCTCCTTCGTCTTTGAGGTTTCTGATGTCTCTGAGGTCTCCTCCGTCTCTGAGGTCTCCTCCGTCTCTGAGGTCTCCTCCATCTCCTCCGTCTCCGTCTCCTCTCCCCCCCCCCTCCTCCTCCTCATCCTCCCCCCCCCTCCTCCTCCTCCTCCTCCTCTCCTCCTCCTCCTCCTCCTCCTCCTCCTCCTCCTCCTCCTCCTGGTCCTCCTCCTCCTCTCCTCCTCCCCTGGTCTCCTCCTCCCCCTCCTCTCCCTCCCCCCCCTCCCTCCTCCTCCTCCTCCTCCTCCTCCTCCTCCTCCTCCTCCTCCTCCTCAGCCAATGCTATACATGGCAACTGTCTGGACATTTAGAGAATCTTCCGATTGACCCCATGTGCGCACATTGGTGTTGGGTGCAAGTCCGTGCGCAAGTGCGAGCGCGAGCTCAGAGAAGCGGCGCCTCCCTCTGTTGTCCGGGAAGGTTCCTTCAGAATGGTCGTTTCGCCTGAGACATCCTCGAGCAAGTGAGTTGTTGAAGCCGTGTGGTTAAGACGTCTTCTGTTAAAAATGAGGCTTCCGCTCAAGACATTCTCGGAAGATGAGCTACAGAGTTCGCTCACGAGATTCAGATAACCATTGGACTTTGCCGTTTCGCCTGAGACATCCTCGAACAGATGAGACGGTGAAGCGGTGTGGTTAAGACGTCTTTCGTCAAACATGAGGCTCTCGCTCGAGACATCCTCGGAAAACGGCATTCGCAGCATCTTAGCTCGAGGTCCTGTCTCCTCCCTCTCTTCCGTTTCCTCCGTCTCTGAGGTCTCCTCCGTCTTTGAGGTCTCCGTCTCCTCTGTCTCTGAGGTTTCCTCCGTCTCTGGGGTCTCCTCCGTCTCTCCTCCGTCTCTCCGTCTCCTCCGTTATCCTTCTCCTACTCCTCTTCCCCGTCCTCCTCCTCCTCCTCCTCCTCCTCCTCATCATCATCATCATCATCATCATCACCATCATCATCATCATCATCAGCATCATCATCATCATCATCATCATCATTCTCTTCCTCTTCCATCACGCACGCACGCCGTACGTCCCGCCCGCCCGTCGCCCCCATAACACATCCCGCACGCACGCCGTACATACCCCCCGCCCGTCGCCCCCATAACGCATCCCGCAAGCACGCCATGCATCCCCCCCTCCCGTCGCTCCCATAACACAACCCTGCACACGCGCGCACACACGCACACAGCCGGTCACACAGGCACATACACAGGCACACGTACATACACGCACGCTCGCACCAGAGTAACCACAGCAACCACAGGCAGCCACTACACTCGGAGAAGCAACCACTAATCCCGCTCTCCGCGCGCGACGCGAGTTTTGGCGAACTCTCTGTGGGGAAGGCGTTTGGGGCCCCATCCCCCCCGCGCGATCACTGGCTAATCGTCGGTGTGGGGGGGGGGGGACTCGTGCGGCAGCAGCAGCAACAGCAGCAGCAGGAGGAGTGGGAGGAGGAGAAGAGGCAGATGACGTCGAAGAGGAGAAGGAGGAGAAGGAGGAAGGAGAGGAGGAGGGGGAAAAGGATGGGGAGGAGGCAGGGCCAGCGCGGCAGACCTGCACGGCAGACCAGCGCGGCACGCCAGCGCGGAGTTTTTTGGCGTGCTCGACCAGACGTCATCTGACAAGCCTCGTGGACAAAGCGGCGCTTCCCGCTCTTGTCCGGTCAGGCTTCTTGGAGCGGCGCGGGGCCCCCCTCCCTGGCGCGCGGAGCGCGCCATGGGGCGGCCCCGGCGGCGCCGCCCGGGGGCCGCCCAGTGCCGACCCCATCAACCCGCGTGCCGCGTGGAGTTCAGGGACATGACAGGCAACCCGCATGGTAGGGATGGGCTGCCTTCCCAAGGATCTCCTTGCGTCTGTGCCTCCTCAGTCCTTGGCCACTTTTTGGCCGCGCCCCGCTCGAAAGGCTTCGACTTGGCCTGCCAAGGCCCCTGCATCCTTATCGAGCAGCCTTGTGATACGGGTTGACGGTATGTTGGTGTCGTTTTTGGTTGGGGTTGCTTGCAGGAGCAATTCGCCGAGCTCGTGCGGCACAGTCTTGTCACGGACAGTGCCATCCTGGCGAAGCGGTCCATCCAGACAGCGTTCCAGCATTGCGATGCGGACCGGGACGGCGCTCTGAAATTCGACGAGTTCGCCCAGTGCATGCGCTGCCTGATGTTCAACGAGGCTTTCAACATCAGCTCAGAGGAGCGAGAGCTGCGCAGGATAGCCAAGGAACACAACCTTTCTTTCGTCGAGGTCGACAGGTACAAGAAGATGTTCGACGAGCTGGACGGGAACGGCAGCGGCAGCGTTGAAGAGCACGAGTTCGAGGACCTTCTCTACAGGCGGGCCCCAGCAGAAGCATCAGTCCATTTCCACCATGTTGGGGGTGATGCGGTCGGCGTCTGGAAGGGACGTGGCGATTTCGATCAGATCTGGGGCCCCAGACCCACCGAGCGCGTTCCACTACTCGCAAAGTGTCTACTCGCACACGTCAGAAAAAAAAACATGCTTGCATCGATTTAATGTATCGTGCATCCCCTTATAGCGGATCCAGGCCATTTGCGAGTAGTTACTTCGTGTGTCATGGAACGCGCCTGTCTACAGACAGGCTGCAGAAACCATCGTGCTCCCGCTTTCGCCTCCCTGGTCGCCGCCGGCGTGGGTGGTTTATTCCTGCGCTCGTGCTCCAGTGAAGCAGGATGCGATTTCTGGGAGGGGCGACGGTTTTGGCTCCGGGGCTGCCTTCTGTCAGCGAGCGAAGAGCGGTATCACATAAGGTCTCGCGCCGTCGTGGACGCCTGCCCCTGGGCGGCTGGAATGTTTATACCCTGACACCGGCGCGCGCTCCAGCCTTGACATCCGCTGGTATTCCGAGGCGGGGATTCATACATGACCAACGCCTGGATGATCGACTTTCGCGGACCTCCACAGGCGGTGGATATGGGTACATGCTGGCCCCCGGGGGCCAAAGTGTATACCCATACCTATACGACCACCCTTCAGGTGATAAGGACGTTGTGGGGAGGGGGTGAGCGGGGAGGAAACCAACATCTGACTCAATCGATCTCACTATCGATCTCACTCAACGGGACACCACGGGACACTTGTCGATCTCACTATTGATCTCATTATCGATCTCACTCAACGGGACACCACGGGACACTGTGGGACACCTCTCGATCTCACGATCGGTCTCATTATTGATCTCACTCACGATCTCACTCAACGGGACACCACCGGACACCTCGGGACACCACATGGATCTCACTATCGATCTCACTATCGGTCTCACTCTCGATCTCACTCAACGGGACACCACGGGACACCACGGGACACCTCGGGACACCTGTCGATCTCACTATCGATCTCACTTTTTGGGACACCACGGGACACCACGGGACACCTCGGGGCACCACATCGATCTGAGTATCGATCTCAGTATCGATCTCATTCAACGGGACACCACGGGACACCTGTCGATCTCATTATCGATCTCACTATCGATTTCAGTTTTTTTGGACACCACGGGACTCCACGGGACACCACGGGACACCACATCGATCTCAGTATCGATCTCACTATCGACCTCCTTACCAACCTCACTATCGCTCTCAGTATCGATCTCACTATCGACCTCACTCAGCGGGACACCACGGGACTCCACGGGACACCACGGGACACCGCGGGACACCTCGGGACCGCCGGACGGACGGACGGACGGGCGGGCGGGCGGGGGAGAATCATTTGTCTTGACTTCGCCCTAGCAACGGCGGACACCACGGGACACCACGGGACACCGGGGGAGACCGCGAGCCACCGCCGGACAGGCGGGCGGGGGATAATCATTTGTTTCGACTTCGCCCTAGCAACGGCGGACACCACGGGACACCACGGGACACCGCGGGACACCGCGAGCCACCGCCGGACGGGCGGGGGAGAATCATTTGTCTTGACTTCGCCCTAGCACCGGCGGACACCACGGGACACCACGGGACACCATGGGACACCGCGGGACACCGCGAGCCACCGCTGGACGGGCGGGAGAGAATCATTTGTCTTGACTTCGCCCTAGCACCGGCGGACACCACGGGACACCACGGGACACCACGGGACACCGCGGGACACCGCGAGCCACCGCCGGACGGGCGGGGAGAATCATTTGTCTTGACTTCGCCCTAGCACCGGCGGACACCACGGGACACCACGGGACACCGCGGGACACCGCGGGACACCGCGAGCCATCGCCGGACGGGCGGGAGAGATTCATTTGTCTTGACTTCGCCCTAGCAACGGCGGACACCACGGGACACCACGGGACACCACGGGACACCGCGGGACACCGCGAGCCACCGCCGGACGGGCGGGAGAGATTCATTTGTCTTGACTTCGCCCTACAAGCGGCGGACACCACGGGACACCGCGGGAGACCGCGAGCCACCGCCGGACGGGCGGGGGATAATCATTTGTTTTGTCTTGACTTCGCCCTAGCAACGGCGGACACCACGGGACACCACGGGACACCGCGGGACACCGCGAGCCACCGCCGGACGGGCGGGGGAGAATCATTTGTCTTGACTTCGCCCTAGCACCGGCGGACACCACGGGACACCACGGACACCATGGGACACCGCGGGACACCGCGAGCCACCGCCGGACGGGCGGGAGAGAATCATTTGTCTTGACTTCGCCCTAGCAGCGGCGGACACCACGGGACACCACGGGACACCGCGGGACACCGCGAGCCACCGCCGGACGGGCGGGGGAGATTCATTTGTCTTGACTTCGCCCTAGCACCGGCGGACACCACGGGACACCACGGGACACCGCGGGACACCGCGGGACACCGCGAGCCGCCGCAGGACGGGCGGGAGAGAATCATTTGTCTTGACTTCGCCCTAGCAACGGCGGACACCACGGGACACCACGGGACACCGCGGGACTCCGCGAGCCACCGCCGGACGGGCGGGGAGAATCATTTGTCTTGACTTCGCCCTAGCACCCGGGGACACCACGGGACACCGCGGGACACCGCGGGACACCGCGAGCCACCGCAGGACGGGCGGGAGAGAATCATTTGTCTTGACTTCGCCCTAGCAACGGCGGACACCACGGGACACCACGGGACACCACGGGACACCGCGGGACACCGCGAGCCACCGCCGGACGGGCGGGAGAGAATCATTTGTCTTGACTTCGCCCTAGCACCGGCGGACACCACGGGACACCACGGGACACCACGGGACACCGCGGGACACCGCGAGCCACCGCCGGACGGGCGGGAGAGATTCATTTGTCTTGACTTCGCCCTAGCAACGACGGGTGCGTGCCTCTCGCGCGCCCACGCAGCTTCGCCGCGCTCGCACGCACGGCACGAACGAAACGAAACGGTTTCCCGTTTGGAGGTCTCCCTTCCTTTGCGATCTCACCCCCAAACTTCCGATCCACCACCCGCTGGGTCCCCAGGACGTCGGTTCCCAGGCGGTTGATATGACTAAATCTTCGCCTCGCAGCCATGATCTCCTGATCCGCGCCTCCACAAGTCCCGACCACTTGACATCCGCTGGTGCAGTCAACGCTGATACTTAACAAGGAAGATCGGCTTCCTAACAGTACCCTTCGGTTGCCTTTTCGGTCATCTTTGGCCCGTCCTCAACCATTTCCCAAGGAAGATCGGCTTTCCAAGGAAGATCGGCTTGCCTCTTCGGTCATCTTCGGCCCATCCTCAACCACTTTCGATGGCCAGCCCCGCTCGAAGAGCCTCGGCACGGGAGCCCAAGGCCATTGCACCCTTCACGCGCCTCATTACTATATGGATTGACCGCACCCGTCGCTCGTTGAAAGTAGGTACCGGTGGAATCCCAGCTCCCAGTATATCTCAAGCGCCCTCCTGCCTCGATGATCGATGTGCTGTTGTTGTGTTTGGCTATTCTCTGGGAGGGCTCGAACCCAACCTGCTTCATCCGCCTGCTTTTACCTACTTCTGGGTGCCCTCCCCCTTCGCCCGTCGCGCGGCCGCCCTCGTTTTCGCCTCTCCCTCTCTCGCACGCCGGACACTTTGCTTATACCGTTTGCCCCGACTGGCCCCGCGCGGGTGCGGATTGCCTCCGCCTCGCCGCCGACGAACACAGATGTTTTGCCTACTTCTTCCGCGCCCCCAGGAAGTCCCGACAACGCTTCCTCGGGGGCAGTATCGACGGCCCCAGGAACCCTGTGCTGGACCGCGACGGCCGGCATCGACTCGAGGAGAAGACCGCGGGGGCCCGAGATTTGGGTGCTGGCATCGCCCAGACATGCACGCCGGTCGTTGAAAGTTGGTACTTTGGGAGTCCCAGGTCCCAATCTGCTTCAGGCGCCTTCCTCCTTCAAGAGTCGAGCGGCGTTCTCTCTTCTCTCCTCCTCAGCGGGTGGGCGGAGACCCAATCTATTTCCAAGGCCTTCCTACTTCATGTTTATATCCACTTTTTCAGACCGACGGGTACGGTCGGACCGGGGTATCGAATGGCCTTCGGCCCATCTTGCCACCGTGCCTGGGTTGTGGGTCAGAGTTCTAAGGGATGCTTCTTCGGGTCTCTTCGGGGCGCTCTCAGGGGCCTCTTGGGAGCAGTTTTGGGGCCTGCTGGGGGCCTCTTGGGGGCCTCTTGGAAGCCTCTTGGGGCCTCTTGGGAGTCTCCTGGGGTCTCTGGGGGGCCTCTTGGGGCCCCCTTGGGGCCTCCTGGGTACCCCTCGGGACCGAGGGCTTGAAATGTCCGTTCGGGTCCCCCATCTGGGCCCCCTCTTGGGGCCGTCTTTGGGCCCTCTTGGGCCGTCTTGGGCGCCTCTTAGGGCCCTCTTGGGTCGTCTTGAGGCCCTCTTGGGGCCCTCTTGGAGGCCTCGTGGGCCGTTTTGGAGCGTCGGAAAGCCGAAACGACGAGAATACCAAAACCTTCAAACATCACATACGAAGTCACTGATGTTTGCCTCTTCGGGCCCTCTTGGGACGCCTCTTGGAACACTCTTGGGACGTCTTCGGGGCCTCTCAGTCCGTGTTGAGGCCATCTTGAGCGTATTGGGGCACTCTTGGGCCTTCTCGGAGGCATCTTCGGCCCTTTGGTGCGATTTTTTGGCCCATGTTTTGCCGGCTGCGCTACCAGAGGACGCGCGCGACACGCCCAGGGAATCCCAGGAAATCCCCGGACATCCCCGGAAATCATTGTGAAATCGGTGGCCCAGGCCATGTAAAATCTATTAGTCGACCTTACAGTTTTTGAATTTCTCAGAGCTGCATGAGCCTTGAGGCACTTCACTACGTGCTGCAGGCACGGTGGCCGATAAGATCAAGGTCGGTTCGGGGAGGATGCCCTAA